CCTAAAACAAAAAATAATAAATTACCAAAGTTAACAAACTATCGATGGAAGAAAGACAAGCTAAAGAAATTCTTTAATATGTATCAGTCAACTATCAATCATATGAAATATTCTTCAGGCCAAATTCATGATCAGATTAATGACGTATCTGGTATATTATACTTTCCATTTGTACACAAGTGAAACTGAGTCTAAAGTGAACTGAGTATTTCATAATCAGATTAACGACGTCATTATTTGCTTAATTTGGTAAAAAGTTATCACATGACAACACAAGTTCGAATCTGACTTTTAAAATGAGTTTACAAAACTCACTAAAGCACATGGTCTTTCTTGATCAATCTTGTGCAGACAAAAATTCAATTAAATCTCACTTGTCAAAATGTAAAAGGAACACTCATTCAACTGAGATATGACATCACAAGTGAAAATCGATGTAAATGGAAAGCAACTTATATGTTACATATATTATGTTGTTTACTTTAATTTTAATTTATTGATCCCTTTCGAAACAATAAACTAGAGCAAGTTAAAGAGAATTATCAAAGTGGGTCAATAGCTATTAATGAAAAGAGGCATAAATTACAAGATTGCATAAATTCCTTGATATTTATCAATCAACAATTAAACATATGACTCTACAGAGTTAAATTCATGGTCAAACATATGAAGTGATGATCAAAATGATCATGAATCTACCGCGTATATTATGTCACATATTATTTACTGTAATTCTAATTTATTAATCATTTCCAGGGCAACGGACGGCAGTATGAATAAGGTATGGGGAACTGTCAAAGTAGGTCCCAGGTTATGTTACGCTCGTACCACGGATCCCTCGATGGAAGTGCTGCAGTTGGACAGGTAATCGACGTCGCGATTCTCTTGCTTCACAATTCCGCCCACTGCCATAGAGCTCACCTCCAAGATCGCTGAGTCCTCGGCGCCCTTCTCGTCTCCTGGATTCTCCATCTCCGACGTTTCCGACGAGGTCATCATTTTTTTGATAATCAGACAACAAACCGACGTCAACCACCTACACGAATCGCTAGACAACTACTGACAAGTTGACAAACTTCGCGCAGACGCCGCGCACGAGTGATAGATTATCGCAAAGGGGTGCATAAAAAAAAAGAACCCTTCACCTGTCGCACTGTTTATACATATAAATAATTTTATTTCTAATTCAAATACATTATCATTTCATTAAGATATATCATTAATGCGAGATTTTCTTTGCATAATATTAAATCGTTTTGACATCTCTTATTAGCAATTATATATTTTTTAAATTTCCTAAAAACATGATAAAAAACGGATAGATTTTGAACTGAATTTTATTTTAATTTTAGATCGATTAATATTAAATGGATAATGTTAGGGAGATTCCCAGCGAACGAGAATGGACTAAAATGGATTGAAATTTTTTTCTATCTGAATGCGTATTTTAAACAGCGAATACTTTTTTTGGATTTAATTGGATTCAATTGGATGCTATTAGATTGAAAGACTGCATTTCTTATTCAAAATTTTGAATTGAAGTATTCAAATGTGTGTGTTGTGCACAGAAAAAGCTAATATTATTTTTAGATTGAAAGGCATAGAGATATGCTCCATGCAATTCCTATAAATGAATAAAAATACATTCAGGATTGAAAAGCATTCATTTTAACATTCGTGAATCAATATTTCTGAAAATCTGAATCCATTTCAATTCATTTCAATCCATTCTTATTTGATGGGTTGTTATAGATTAATATTTTAGGTTGATTTATTTAAGATCAATTAATTTTAGATGAAGAATGATTAGGATTTCGCTTGTTTACAATCACAAAAATTGTACTGAATAAGAATTGCATCGGTTTTACATTATAGCAGGTCTCAATTCGAATCTGCTTAGAGCCCACGAATATCTTAAGTCCATCACTGCGAGCGAGACGTGTGCGGTGCGCACACACGACACGCACATCGATCATCGATTCAAAATGCTGCGCCAACTTCGCATCGAACATGAGATCCGATTGACCTACATCCAAAGCTGCATGTTGATTGCAAACGGAGCAACATGCTGTTAGCTTATGTACATACATGTATGTACACACATGTTTCATATATAAGGTACACAAGATTACCAAGATAATGTTAGCTGACTCGATCTTTATTAATAGGATTAGAAGCTGTTTGGCTTCTATATCATTTTCTTATGAGCCACTTCTTCAATTTCATAGTAATTTAAGTCTGCATTCTTCCTTTTCTTCAGATGATATTTTAGAATAATGATAAGATATTTTAGAAATTAATAATTATTAAAGATCAATTTTTGCCTTCTAAAATAAGTTTATATATTACTAATTCTCTCTTATATTCGACTAATTACACTATATATAATATTCCAATTTTTTAGTTTCGCCAGGAAAGAAGGGGATCATTTGTTTATATATGTAGAGATTGTACAAATATTTAATGAAATGATTAAATTTCTAAAACATAATTAGACTGAATATGTAATTCAAGACGAGAATTCATCTCATTCTAGAAAGTTCTCTGAGATGAAAATACGTGGCCTGTTCTTTTTGACTGAATTTTTGCACCTTTCTTCCTTTTTTTTATGAAGAAAGAAGAAGAAGAAAGATGAATTGGTGCAAAAATTCAGCCAAAAAAAACAGGGTTCAATTATGCATCTTTTTTCCTAGGGTGAAAAGTGAAATTTTTTTGTATGATGTATATATATGTACATGCACATAAAATGTTTCATTTTTCACGTTTTCGCTCTTGGAAAAAAGATATATAATCGATACCCAGGCCTAAATAGCGGAGACTTCATACGTGAAAATAGATAGCGATCCGCGATTGTTATCGCAACGGCGAGACTCGCTTCTTCTCTTTTTTTTTAAGTCTTTTCGCGTTTACGGAGGTTATATTTCTCATAGAGAACGGCATCTTCGGGAAGCGCAACGAATTTTTTCAACAAGATTCGCAGATGGAAAGGAGCAGTGTGGCGAACTCCAATTCCGTGGTCCCGTCGTCCTTTTGCTATGAAAATCTCGAGTTTGCGCTGATGGCGAACGAGTATCAATCGGACATGCCTTGTTACTTCGTTAGAAACCGATCGCTGTTGTGTAAGTGATTATCTCCTTCTTTTTTTTAATATTGACGGACTTCGGCACTTGTCTTGCGTCTTGAGGTCTTTTTTCCTCGCCGTAACGAAGAGACAATGAGATGATTGAGCACACATTAAAGTCTCCGATCGTTTCCACAAATTTGGCTTTCTTGATCTTTTATTATTAATTAATTATCGATATCATTGATTTATTTAGGACAATTAATAATAAATTCTCATTTGAGCAAGAGTTATGCTTAATTGCATACATTAATAATCATATAAGTTCTCTATAAAAGATATCATTGACGCCTGAGCCATAAAAGGTACATCGAGAAAAACATGAAGAAGAGATATTTTCTTCTCATAAATTTTATAGTGGTATGACTGAGAACGGGAATTATCTTGACTTTCAATTCTGTTTCTCACACTCATTTTATTCATATATTATTTAATTTTCCGTAACTAAATTTGTATAATTTATAAGTAGTAAATATTGCGCTATACATTCTTTAATTCATGCGACTTGAATCATTTTTCTCGCTTTCTCGATATAAATCGTTCTTAAGCATTCGTATGCGTTCATATACATAGACCGATCTTCAAGCCTCACACGAAATAGACCGTTTTCTTCATTTCTTGATATAGACTCTTCTTCGTGTTTTTTTTTGATATAGTACCTTCTACAACTCAGGTGTCGTCATACAAAGACGTCTCCAAAGGACTTTCATCTTCTAAAGACGTCTCCAAGACATTTCTCAGAGAATTGTATTGTGTAAGTTTGCCTTAAAAAATTGATTATTTTTGTAATCGAATAATTCAATCATTTGATTATAGCTTTTACATTGCAATTTCCTTTTTTTTCTCTTCTCGAGCAAACGAGAATGGATTGAAATTTTTTTCTATCTGAATGCGTATTATAAATAGCAAATACTTTTTTGAATTTAATTGGATTCAAGTAGATTCAATTAGATTCAATTGGATTGAAAAACTGCATTTCTTATTCAAAATTTTGAACAGTATTCACAATGTGTACGTTGTGCACAGAAAAAGCTAATATTATTTTTAGATTGAAAGGCATAGAGATATGTTCCACGCAATTCCTATAAATGAATAAAAATGCATTCAGGATTGAAAAGCATTCATTTTAACATTCGTGAATCAATATTTCTGAAAATCTGAATCCATTTCGATTCATTTCAATCCATTTTGGATTTCTCTCTTTTTCTTTAAATTATGAATGACTATCGTTTGGAATACGAAGGTATAAGATAATTAAAATCTGATTAACTTATCAATGATTGATATTCAAGAATTAACTAGTGATTGTTTACTGCAAAATCTCTAATTATATATAATTCATTGTCTCTAATCGAATCTTTCTTAGACAGAGCAAATGATTTATGAATCTACCCATGTTAACAATATGGATAAATGAATAGATGGATAAATAGATTAAGATGAATTACTTAAAACAATATTTATTATTATTATACAATTTGTTATTCTTAATCTTTTTTAAAATCTAATTTTTAATTAAATTAAATAATTATAATTAAATAAAATCA